TCAAACTTATTCCCATGGCTCTATGTACTCTTTTGTTCCTAGTTACCATTAGCTTTGGTAAAGAGAAGGCAGCTCTAAAGACTATAAGGAGCCTAGGGAAAAGGAAACAAGAACACCCAACACAAGTGACATGTGGCTGACCAATCACATGATTCCATTTCAGAAACAAGCCAAGAGCATACCAAACAAGACAGTGTGTTCCATGAGGACGGAAAACTCAATCATGTCACATCCCTTGACTCATCAGGGTTCTCCCAGCTCACTTGTTTTGACCCACTGTGATCAGTGGGAGGAGGTAGAAGGCCGAAGGTCCACATGTAAAGTATAAAATGACACCGCCTACTGTCATTAGTCAGTAAGATGGGAGGTACTGGGGAAAGGGAGGAAGACACTTGGTCTGAATTCCTATTGAGGTGACACCCTGTCTTTGGACCTCACTTTTCCCATTTGTACAATGAAGGATATCCAGCTTTGATATCCTGTGGCGCTGTAAACAGCCTGTGTGCCTTGTGACCCAATGATGTATAAAGTATGTTAGGAGGGCAACAGACAGCCAGATCATGACTGTTACCCAGAAGTGAACATCCAGTAGCTGACATCGCACTGGGAATGTAGAAGAGAAACGGTGCACATGCTTGGCTTATTGAGTGAAGCACATACATGCAATCTTTTCCTGCTGGCCTATGAGTACGCATATACATATATGCTCGTACCTTCTCTTGAGGATGGAAATACAAAACTGGCTATCATAATGGCAAAATAACAGTGAAAGTGAGGAAACTGATTCAGAGTGGATTTTCCCTCTCATCCCAACACTTAGGCAATCTCTAACTTCAAAAACCAGTAATCAAAAATTTCTTGGAATAATTGTTTTCCCAGGATACCTTAGTATCAACAAAAGTAAGTCAGCAAAGTTGTGATATCATGGATAACAAGAGCAAAAGCCAATTTCCTATATCTGATTTTGCTCCTATCTTCTTGGTCAAGAAGGACGGTTTTCAGTCCAAAAAGTGCCAGAAAGAATACCACTAAGAGAGAAATGAAACCCAGATGAGTGGAGAAGATTGGAAAAAAATAAAGCACCCAGGGATATAAATGCGTTCAGTGCTTCAGACCCAGGGATCAGTTCCCTTATCGATAAATGTGTCTTAAGAATCTTACACACTGGGGCGGGGGCGGGGGCGGGGGGCGGGCCTGGGTGGCTCAGTGGGTTAAACATCCGACTCTTGGTTTAGGCTCAGGTCATGATCTCATGGTTTGTAAATTCAAGTCCCACATTAGGCTCCGTGCTGACAGTACAGAGCCTGCTTGGGATTTTCTCTCTCCCTCTCTCTCTCTGCTCCTGCCTGCTCCCCCCATCCCCGCTTGCTCTCTCTGTCGCTCTCTAAAAATTAAATAAACTTAAAAAAAAAAAAAGAATCTTATACACTGGGAAAGGTGTGGAGGCAGACATCCAAAGTTCTGATTTTAAAAAAATAGAAGGAAGGAATTACATAAACTATGTAGCAGTAGCTTGAGATCATGGCTGGCTAAATTCTGAAGTTCATTTTCAAAGAGCAGAGACCACCAAGAACCAGGGAGGATTCATCAGGCAGAAGGTATACAGATTAATCTGGTTTTCTTTTTGTTCCAGTTCTTTATAGACAATTTAGGCAAAGCCAGAGACACAGCACATCTGGATCATCATCAAGTCCCTTATATTCCTGTGAAAAAGACAGAAATATGTGCCTTTGGGTGTCAAGACAATTGCCAGAACTTGTTACTCATTAAATGATCATGCCCCATACATGTCTACTTAGGGTTCTCAAGGGCCAGGAGACCCCAACAGTATGTCACAGGCCTCTGACTTTGGATCCAATTGTGCAATGTTTTCATCAACGCGATGATGAAAAATAATGGAAGCTTACTTTTCAGATCTGAGATGATACCAAATACAGAAGAAAAGCAAGGTTGTGAGGTGCTAAAATCAATAGCTGTGAAGACCCCAACAACAGAGAAGATCTATTTTTAAAACTGTTAAACCCTTTATTCAGATGGAAATCTGATATAGAAATACAATATAAACCCAAGGACAGAGGAGCTGCTGTGTCTGAAATGGGAGAGAACACCTGAGCCCTGACTCTCAAATCCCCTTACACCATTCCCTCCTCTACTTTTCAAGAAGGCTCCTCAGTGACCCCCCAAGGGGCTCCTGACACTTACATGGGGCAATCTAACATGAAGAAATTTAACAATCACATCAAATCTACAAAGGGCAGATAGCTCATCCTTACTTTTGCCTTTTGAGATAATGAAATAAAGAACTTTGTAGGTTCTCTGAGCAGGTGAAGCCATATGTGCACAATTAGGGAAACAGACTACGTGTTTCAACGGCAATGATTCTGGAACTACGACTACACAGGATAAAGGGAATGAGGATGAGCAGTGGCACATGTCAAACGACTCTGAGGCTTTACTTAGAACCTGAACCTGAAAGGCTATGGCACCAGCGAAGTGAGTCATATGGTCTGTGGCTTCACGCTCTGGGCTGGGGGGAGATCAGCCCAGCCAAGAGTGCATGGAGCAGCTCTGAGCACTGCAGCTCAGGAAGATTAGAGACAAAGTGAGGAGTGTTCAGAGGGGAGGGACAAGGATGGCGGAGGGTGTCAAGGGCATGTAGAGTGGGGATCTGGGAAAGACCAGAAAATGACAGTCATTTTCAAATAGTTAAAGGGAAATCAACTTGGGTTTGTTCTGAGTGGCTCCAGGTGGCAGGATAAGGACCAACGGGGGGAGATGGAGGCAGACGAATGATAGCTCCATCAGAGGAAGGACTTCCCCAGGGTCAGAACCAATTAGAATGAGCTGCCTGGAGGGACACTAAGCTCCAATAACTGAGGTGTGTGACTGTGTCTGAGGACCCTCTTTGGAGGGCGGCTATACCCTGGCTTCCATGTTTGACTGGAATAGACGCCACCTAATTCTAAAAGCAATGATGCTAAATAAATCCCCATTTATACACAATCCTGAACTTCCCAAACTCCAAACAACCAGAATACTGAGTAATGACAAGTGACATATATTAAAATGGCCCCAAGATTATGCAAAGTTTCCAAAAGGATGTTCATAAAGCAAGATGGATCATATCTAGGAAAAAGAATTCTAGTGGTGAGTGCCATTATTTGGTATGCTATCCATGCTCTGTATCGTCACTATTGGCCATAAATGATCATGAATCTGGACACTCCATTCCAAAAGCAGTCTAGACAAAGGAATTAACCACATCAAATGCGATTCCAGCCACAATTCTGCTCGTATATATTTCCACAGTTAGATATATCTATGCAAATTTGTTCTTCAGTAATAAACAAAAGTACACATAAACTTGTTTTTGAAGATTCTCATCACATAATACTTTTTTTGGAAAGTGCATTTGCCATTGGATCACTATATTTCTGCAGCATCTTCAACTATGAAGGAAGTTAGGTTGTGATAGTGCACGTAGCCCCACAGACCCAGCACTACAATCACATTAACATTTTACTCTTGCATATTACACTGTTCGACTATCAGTGCTACTCTTATCCCCCTTAAAAATTAGTTCTCACACACTGTCTCTACCCTCTCCCTGAGCTGATCCATTAGTTGGATCATATCACCTGTCCTGTGAGGTCCGGGAACATGTTGTGGAAAGGGGCTGGGAAGCTGTTTACCCACACTTATTGGGAACTATCAACAACCAAGGCTCCAATAACAAGCAGAAGGTATGTGACTGTTGAACAGTTATTACCTTATCTGATCTCATAAGTGCTCCTTGGAGCATTTGAGAGTCTGTGGCTTAAACTACTGCCAGTGATTCCTTTACAGCATGCCTGTAGGCGCAAGATCCAGTTTATCAGTCCAGGGACATGTGGACCTGGCCAGGGTTTGACCACACACCATTTAAGGTCCCACCCAACTCTACAACTCCATAAGTCAGTATGTAAAACTGATATGCTAAGATGTTTATGGAGACATCCCACAGATATTTAATCAGTGCACAACTGTGTCAACACTTACTTGCCCTTTTATTTTATTTTTACATTAAAATAAGGAGGGAATATTTGCTTCACAAAATATTCAGATTGGCCCATAAAAAAGATTTCTCTGGCTTAGAAGTCCATGATTATTTTGTTTCATGGAAAGTATCATTATAAGATTTATTTTAGAAATTAATTCACCTAGATTATGTAAAGCATAATTTCACATTCATATTTGAACTCATCCACATTGTCACTGACCTTGGCCATTTTTTCATTTAGCCCGCTGGCCCTCATTGCATTTCTGTGTAGAGTGAAAAGATTGGTATAGATTTATTTTTCATGTCCATCAGTTCTGATTTCTGAGGCACATTCACATTGGATAAGGCAAAACATAGCTCTCTATATACTTTGTACTCATAAATGTATTATTTTTTTAAATTCACCATTGTGAAAAACATTAGCAAGAAACATACGTTCTTTAAATTGCTACCTTTCCCCTAAGTACACCACAGTAGCTAAGAAATCATTGCAGAAATGGGGGACTTGGAAGTATATGTTTATAATATGCAAGCAGCTCTATTCCCAAAGGATTTGGCAACATACTCATATACTTTGAAGATAATTTCCACCCAGTTTCCACCATAGCTCCTTTGATCTTGTATGTTTCTGATATGGAAAATAAAACCCCCTGCAGGCAGAGTCCAGATCAACTTTGAGAATAAGGAGAGATACAAAGACCATGAGAGACAGACCACACTAAAGTTAGGGGGAAAATGCTCTATTATTTTCTCAATATTCCCTCCTATTCAGTCCTTTATTACGTATTAGGGCCTAGTTCCTGCACTTTGTGGCCACTGTAAACTCTATGTCTGAGGCTGGGCTGAGGACAAGGTCCCCTATGGGAGGATATCTGGACATCCCTTATTATTAAAGCTCAGAGAAATGCCAAGCCCCATGTCCAGTCCTGGCATCAAAACCAAATAGCTCCCCAGGACTTACCAGCTGCTCTGCTAGTCCCGTCCTGCCCAGGTGATGGTTCTGCTGTTCGTGAACAGAGGATTGGCAGGTCGGGGAGCTGGGAGGAAATGTAATTTACTGCATCTGGTAGCAGAGAACAGGGAATGCAATTAGGCACAGTGTCGGGAGGCCCAGTGGGTTCACTGCCGAGACAGCAGCTTGTCTGCCCTACATAATGGACCGCGGAGGCGGCCACTGAACGAGAGGATCAGGGTAAACAAAGACAAGCATTTGCTCAGTGACTGGTATTCAGCAGAGTAGCTGAGGTAGGAGGGATCCTGGCCAGAGAGCTCAAGCCCCAGGACTGCTCTATGTATTAAAAGATTCATCAGAAAGCTCTAGATACTAAGAGTACAATGAGTTCAGGAGGGAAAAGGGGTTTGGCTAGTGAGAGCCATTATCGACTTGGTAGAATTGACCAAACATGAGACATCAAACTAGAAATATGCCTTAAACAGTACTGAAAAATAGACTTGGGGCTCAATCCCTAAACTGCAAATGTAGTTTCCGGTGCCTGAATCATTCAGAAGACCTATTTTACAGACATAAAAAACAAACAAACAAACAAAACCCCAAAACTCTAGAATTTATCCTACAATTTCAATACTTCAGGTTATTGTTTCAGCCAGGAAACCCTGAGATTCCAAATAACAACAGCCAGTGAGTTCACCATTAGCCCAGTTGTAGGAAACATGGCCAAGAAAAGCAGGGAGACCAGCTCCAGTTGGGAAAATAGCTGGATAAGGCCATTTTGGGAGGTGAGACTCTGCGGAGTATGAACCTTAGCAGATGTGTCAAATCAGAGGAAAGCAGGAAACCACTGGGGGTGAAGGAGAAGAATTTGTGTATCTCCCAGAGAGAAGTGGGAAAGGGAAGGCAGGAACGTTCTAGAGCACTGGGCTCTATATGATGTGATTCCTTCCTTATGTCAGGACCATGTCCCAGAATCCTGGAATGCCAATTGCTCCTCAGGGGTCCCTCTGGCTGCTTACTGCACATCTTCACTGAATCTCTCCTAATCACCTCAGACTCAACATGTCCCAAACAGAACTCCCATCTGTGCTCATCTGCTGCTTTTCCTGTACTCTGTGTCTCAGCTTACTGGCACCACAATTCACCCAGGATCCTGGGCAGTGCCCTGAATGCTCCCTCTCGGTGCCCAGTCAGCCCCCTAGCCTCTACCTCCTTCACATCTCTTACATCCGTCCCATCCTCTGTATCCCCATTGATATTGCCTTTGTTCTGCCAGTTTTCATTTTTCCTTTTTAAATTGCATGCTGGAGAGAACCATGGACAGACACTAGATTAGGATGAGGATTAGGATTAGTTCAGTTCTGCACCAGCTAGACCATTTGCTGACTCGCATGTGAGTATCAACAATCCAGAATGTGCTGATATTGGACCATTATATTTTGAGGAACACACTCTGTGGGTAGAGGTGGGGTGGAGCTTCACTGAGGGAATGGGTTTTTCCATATCAACCATTTGGGGAGAAGGAATAGGACATCAGGAGTAGGTGGGCAAGCCTTTCATCATGGTGAGGTTCAAGTGACTATCCCTCCGGGGCCTTATGTGTGCTGGAGAGTGGGCCCTAGGTTGGGCACACATGGTTGAGGGTCCTCTGCTGCAAAGAAGGACCCCAAACTAGGCCTTTGGGGTGATGGAGGGGACTGGGAGACAGCCATGAGGCAGCCTGCGGGCATCCCCTGAAGATGGGCCTGGTTTGAGTCAAAGGTTCTGAGTGTGGCCACATGTCTGAGGTTGCACATGGTTCTCTATTATTCCTGAACTTAGGTTACTCTCATCCTGGGGAGTTGTGGGAAGAGTCTGGGCCCCAAACCAGCATGAGGCAGGACCAGAAGAGAGCAGAGGCTTCAGATAAGCTGATCTTGAGGGTGTAGGGGTAGACTTCTGACAGTAGCCCAGGGAAAGATTAGAACAGCAGTGTGTGGCTAGAGGGGCAGTTTAGGGGACAAGAGATGACCAGAGAAGATTTGCAGAGTTTGTGAGTTTTCCCTGAGGATTTCCAGAAATCTGTGGATTGAGATCTCAGTAAATCTGACTTTCTGTAGTCAAACGAGATGAAGGGTCAAGCCATTAAGACCAGGTGAGGACCCACATACTGGTCACGTGTGTGTCTATACATTCTATGCTAAATACAGAGTTTCTGGGGCACCTCTGATACTGAAAGTTTTAGCATCCAGAAACTAAAGGCACTTGCAGGCAGGGCACCTGTATCAGAAAGAGCACAGGATTCCAGGGCTTGTGTCTTAGCCTCCACTGGAGGCAGCTCCTAGCCCCGAAGTGAGTGGGGGTGGAGTCACCTTTGCCCATTGTTCCCTGGCTACAAGCTTGAGAACTACAGCTCTTGGAGGGCTGGGGCCACACACTCCTGCTGAGATGAGGGAGTGAAGAGGAGTGGGGCATGAGAAGGAGAACAGGGCAGCCCGCTCAATACATCATTAAGTCATAAACCTGAAGCTATGTATCCAGGAGGTGGCTGATAGACCAACACAAGGAATAATTAACAGGGCCTCCAAAGCCTCCATGGGAAGAATTTCTTCACATAGCCTCAATCTGTAAACTGCCCTCTTCCTGCCAAGGTCAATGTGGTCCATCATCCGAGAAGGTAAAGAATGGCCATTACCACAGTAGAAATGTAAGATCAGTGCTTCTTATTAGTTCTGGCACTACTGAAATATTACTCTAGCTATGAAGAATATGAATAGCCAAAGCTAGAGAAAACTGATGAACACTCTCCTGAAAACATGATTTATGGGCACCTGAGGACACACTGAGATTTCCCAGCAATTGGTATAAAGGTGTTGATAGGGGGATGGCTTCCGGCCACCACAGACTTGGACAAGATGAAAACCTAAGAAGATCAGTATCATACAGCAAGGGCAGAAATAGGCCCAGGATACACATTTTCCTTTGCCAGTTCTGGCCCAGATCCTCAGTGGGTAAATAATGGCTAGCACAGGATACGTACTATACCCAAATTATAGTTATAGAAGACATTATGCCTATTTAAGGCGGTAACAACAAACCCACCCAACTGATGAAGACTCTGCTATATACTAAGTGTGCATACGGGGTGGGGAGGAAGTGAGGTGGGGGTCAGAACGTATGTGGCCAGGGAATTCTACTCAAGATTGGAATACATGTCTCTAGATTGCTAGGACTACCACACAATCCGAAGCCATTGGTGATCCACCAGTTCCGTACCCTTATATGTCCTCTGACATGCTTAGGGTGACATGCTCAGGTGACCTGAGGGGGATCATGACACAGGCACACACCAGCAGCCATCTCCTTGGCACCTCATTAAACTAGGAATGCTTTTGCTGATTATCTGCAGCATGTTGTACAGTTATATAATCCTAGCTGGCCTTGGATTCCATAATCGGCATTTCAGAAGTAGGGTGTTTTTCTTAAGGCATTATTATTCTTAATAATTTTGTGTTAGTTCTTAGTAGTGACAGGTGGTTAATTCTAAGAGTGGTATTGGCAATTTTGAAATCAAAGGGCCTTTGAAACCAAAGAATGATCAAATAATCAGACACTCCAGAGTCCCTCAACTGGACATGCTTCAGTTTTTACTCTCAGCCCACAGTGTGAGTTAAACATCGACCGCATTCTTGGAAGGATGTGTTCCCTCCTTCAAACTTCCTTCTTTGCCAGTAGATGTGGTACAACGGAAAGGTCCCCCCAGACTTAGTTATAACCAGAGATGGCAGGAATCATAATCCAGAATGACAGGTTAAGACCACAGAAACCTTTTCCTGGCCATTTCTTAGGATCCCTAAGATTTTTGCATCCTTGAGCCTGAGGTACCCCTGCCAAAAAGTGAGGGCAGAGTAATAATGGCAATTTTCTCTAGAGGCTCTTTTTAGTCATGATCAAGTTTCCTCCCACCTCCATGAACCACTTATGGGAATGGATGCAAATAGTGGGAAGTAATGGAGGAGGAAATGAAAGAAACTCAGGGTGAAAATGAAAGACAGAGTGGCAAGGGTTTATAACATGGCTTCAGTTTTGCTTGTTATCAAGTCATAGGCTATGAGGGTCTCCATGTGCCACACAGCCTTCCCAGAGACAAGACATTCAGGCTCTTTCCCTTCCCTAATTACAGAGATAAGTCTAGGAAAGGTCCCAGTTTGAGAAGGAAGAGAAAAAAAAAAAAAAAGAAGTAAAAGCATGAAAGGTCAATGTGTACCTTCCAGTATGTAGGCATCTGTGGGTCAATGCCCCACAGCCCCATTCCAGCCTGACATTTACTGCATTATTCTGATTATGCATGCTGCCTCAGGTCTCTCCTAGCACTAGGGAAGCTCACTATGCTTCCCATGAAGCCACCCTCAATTCCCCCAGAGAGACATGGTCACCTCTTCAGTCCATGCTCTATCCCCAAAGCATAGAACAAGAACTCCAATTTGGCTACACCCTAGAGAAGGCTCTAGAATGTCATAGGTCTTCCTCCTGGAGTCCCTGCCGGTTTGACCCAGGAACATGAGGTTTAATTTACTACCTTCCCAAAGATCATCCAGGGGCCAAACATCCAGATTTCCTGCCTTTTATTTGCTAGAAACCACCACCCTCCCTGAATCAAATAAAATAATATAATACCTTTTTTTTTTTTTTTTTTTGGCTAACGTCAGAACTATCCTTAGTGTAAATATCTTTGCTAATCTAGAAAAATACATTACCCATATCTGCATTTTAAAAATATTTTCCCTTATATTTGCAAATGACATGGGGAAAACACTGATGCTAACTCTTATTCTGGCTCCTGATCATCTTCATAGTTTAGAGGTGGGCTTTATCAGAACCAGGTGAGCAGATGGCATCCAATCCTTCTGATGAGTCCTGGCCTTTTAAAGCAGGTCTAGCTGAGGGCCATAGTGAAAGTGGTAATGGAGTGGTTTTCATGAGCTTGTAGCTAAAGTTAGGGGAGCAAGGTGAAGAATGAAGCAACAACATTCAACCTTCACACAAGGTCAAGCATACAACCTCACGTTCATCCCCAAGGCCACAGGTAAGGAGAGCGGAGGGCAGGGGCAAGGACGGGAAAGGAGGACAGAAGGAAGGCCTGCTCCTGCCAGGATGGGGTCAGGAAGCCAGGGCCCTGCTCCCACCCTTCATGTGCTCAAGGCCAGCTTAGGCCACAAAGGGAGGGATGTTCTGCCCAGCCTTGTTGCCCTGAAAGCCTGGAGGAATGCCAAGTTTTCCGATTCAAAGCAAAACCACAGGTCTTAGAAAGGTTTCCTAAACACCAGATGATGGCCTTCTGATGTGTGTTGTGACCTGGAGACCTAGCCACAAATGGGATCTTCCCTGCCTGGGACCTGGTCCCAATATTAGCACTCTTTGCTGAGCACCTTTTCAGAAAGGTCCAAGCAGTGAACCTTGAGGACCAAATGGGAAAGAGAAAGAGCCAGGCGAACTGTATAAAACTAGAAACACTGAGTCGAGAAACAGTCCTTGAAGAAGAGAGGCAGGCGAGTCTCAGGATGTGCGCCTGCTCAGTGTCCTGTACAGAGTGCTGTTCCTTCCCTCTGGTGTCTTTACACACCAACACATCGCATCTCCCAGTGAGCCCGTGTCCATGAAACCCACTAAGCTGAGTGGGATAAAATACTTCTACAGAGTGGGGGCAGAGAGCACTTACACTTACCTCCATCCGCATTGGAGAAGCTCTGTGGAAACAAAAGCAGGGCAGAGCATCACCACACATGTGGGGAGACAATCCCTCATCCACCTAACCCGTCTTTCTCCCCCAGGTCCAGAATTTGACTGTGGTGGGTAAACCCAATGCTTTCTTTTCTTCTGGGAAATATGTTTGGGATCCTGAAATTTAACGAAAAGTTTTATCATTCCCACTTTATACTGAATTTCTCCCAGTAGGGATTCATGTTGATTATCCAGCGAATACCCTTAGCCATGTTGGAGAAGTGACATCAGAAAACCCCATCTTAAAATTAATGTGATTAGATTGTTTCTTCGGTCTGGGTACCTGGGTTATAAAATGGAAGGAAGGTTCTGAGACATTCAGAAACTCTTGGCTTTATGAGTTCTCTCCTCTGCGCTACATGGCATCTGTTTTCAGAGTATTTACACTCTGTGTATTTGCAATTCATATCCATTTGATACGGTTTTGCCTCTGGCTTTTTTATAAAGGAAAGACTTAAATTAAAGCTGTAAGGAGCAGGGCTAGTCTGCTTAAGAAGAATTCGCTTTAGAATTCTAACGTCCAAGGGGAGATGACTTTTTAGGCATGAGGTGTATGAAGGGTTTGGACAATAGGTAGACGGGGTTAATTCAATGACTCTCTTCTGTGCTTCCCCGCAGACCAGGTGGTCCCACACCTGAAGACAGGCTGCTCTCAGTGTCAGGGACGACACTGGTCCTCACACAATCCGCACCTCATTTCACAGGATGTGTGGCTCAGACTTCTCATCGATATTAACTGGCCCTGTCTCCAGGGACTAACTCACTAGTGCTTACTTCCCTGTGGATAAAATTCAGAGAAATCCCACTTGTTTTCTGTACCTTCTGAAAGTCCTTGAAGGATTTTTCCGTCTCCTTCAGTTTCTCTAAGATGATTTGCTCTTTGGCAGATATCTGGGACTCTTCACTTTCTAGTGCTTGTATTTCCTGCTCCAGCCTGGAAAACACACAAACAGAGAACAGGTTACTTTACTGTCCTGCCATCCTGGGGACAGAGAGCAGCTCCTTCCTGTGGGGTGACTTCCTGGCCGTCTGAGGTGCCAGATTTCACATCACAGGGCATCCTGTGTTTTCAGCTTTGCCACTCAGCACACATTGACCAAAGGAAAACCACCCTGAGCTACTGCCACTGGTTCACTGCCACCACTTTAAAATGTGCTTTGGTGTCTCCCCTCTAACCCTATTGATGTGCGCGTTCTTAATTTGGGGGTAGATATTTTTACATAGCATAGGACATAATGGCTGAAGGAAAATAGCTTCATATTCCCCTAGCTATCTCAGAATAACTGTTCTTCTATCAGTTCTCCTAAAGTGTGAAGAACTAGTCTCATTCAAGGGAAATATGCTGCTACAAAATGGCTGGTGGCCAATATCCTTGGGAGCCTGCTGTCTGTCATCTCTCTTACTGGCGCATCCTCTACTGCCCAAAAGAAGGGAAAAGGGAGGGGGAACTGATACAGCTGCCCTTCTCTTCTGGAACTTTCTCAACTTTCACAGCCATCCTATTTTTGGAAAGGGAAATTTTGTCACTGCCAGGAGACTCTAGGAATATTCCAGAACAGCCATGATCTGGGAGATGTCTCAGTACCTTATTCTTTCAATGAAATGATAGTATTAACTGTTAACTTATATTGAGCACCAAATCTCTGCCAAGAACCAAGCTAAGAATTCACGTAGTTTAATTTATTTAACCTTCCCAATGACCTTTTGAATCAGGAATCCCCATTTTACAGATGAAACCACTAAGGCCTGGCAGGGTTAAGGAACTAGTTTATTGCTGCAGAGCCTTGAACCAAGGATTCAAGCCAGAAGTCCAGACACTACTCCTGACCATGGTGCTGAACTCTTACCACATGGGTTCTACGGTGTGTCACATTATTTCCTGCCTCACTAGATATTGTGTATGTAGGCATCTAGGGTGGCGCTGTTATGCAGCAATATCCTTAGGGTTATGAAGGGATGGATGTTCCCCTGCCTAAAGAATTATTTGGTCTGAATGTATTTGTTTGCTCATTCAATTCTGCTTTTGGGTTCTTTCCTCTCTGTTGTGCTAGAAGCTTTGTTGCAGAGTCTGTGTCTGCCTTTATCTGCCCCTTCCCTTCTTCCATCTTCTAATCTGCTGTTGAGATCTAGCTAACCAAGTTTGTTCAACTAGAAAGAGTTCAGAGTGAGATCTTGAGAGGGGTAAGGACACCAAGCCACAGGCATGGATTTATTTAGGGGTGCACTGTGCCTCTCAGAGATTTCCTTCCTGGGCATCAGAAAAATGACCTCTGGATGGATGAGACTTTGCAGCAATTACTCTGGGTTATGAAGACAACCTCTGTGTACAATCATAGTGCCTCCAAATGAACACAGATGTACTTGTCGTTTCACTCACAGTAAGAGTGGAGGTCCTTATAATGACTTAGATGGCCCTATAGTAGCTAGCCTCCTAGTACCTACATGGCATCCACTCTTGACAATGAGAGGAACTCCTTATTTTCCCATTTGTGCCCTGTGTTTCCCCCTCCTCCAAGAAACTCATCTCAAAACCCTAACCATTCTTGCCTCAGCTGAGACACCACTCACCCCACGAGGCTTTCACAGATTCACTACCAGGAAAAACACTGTCCTCCTCTGAACATTTTTTTTTTTTTTTACATTTATTTATTTTTGAGACAGAGAGGGACAGAGCATGAACGGGGGAGGGTCAGAGAGAGAGGGAGACACAGAATCTGAAACAGGCTCCAGGCTCTGAGCTGTCAGCACAGAGCCCGATGCGGGGCTCGAACTCATGGACCGTGAGATCATGACCTGAGCCGAAGTCAGTCGCCCAACCTACTGAGCCACCCAGGCGCCCCATGTCCTCCTCTGAACATTTATTAGCACATTATTTTGGTCATTCTTCTTATTTATCAAAGGTTAAATGTTAGAGCAGTGGTTCTCAACAGAGGTGATTTGCCCCCCAGGGGATATGTGGCAATGTCTGGAGATATTTCAGTTGCCCATAACTCAAGGAGAGTGGAAGTGGTGCTCCTGGTACCTGGTGGGTGGCGGTCAGCGATGCTGCTAAACACCCTGCAACACCCTGGACAGCCCGCACAGCAAGGAATTATCTGGCCCCAAATTCAATAGTGCTGAGGTTTAGCAACCCTCAATCATTAATTTCCCCCACTAGATTATAAATTCATCACGGAGTGGAGGGCACAGGTGTTCAATATATATATATATATGTGAAAGAAAAAGAAACTAAACCAACTGCCAAAAGACACGACTCAGCCACATGAGACCTTCAGGATTTCTTTTCTTTTTCCTTAATGTTTATTTTTGAGACATAGAGACAGAGCATGAGTAGGGAGGGGCAAAGAGAGAGAGGGAGACACAGACTCTGAAACAGGCTCAAGGCTCTGAGCTGTCAGCACAAAGCCTGATGCAGAACTCGAACTCAGGAACGGTGAGATCGTGACCTAGGCCAAAGTTGGACACTTAACCAACTGAGCCATCCAGGCACCCCGAGACCTTCAGGATATCTGAGACCAGGGTGAATTCTTCAGCAAGCCTTGATTTGAGTCTACAGGAGTCTACAGGAGAGGGAGTCAAGTGACATAGATATATAAACCAAAAGATATACAACTCTTTTTTGCTGTTCCATATCAGCAGTAAAATCTTTCACCCACCTCTGTGTAAATTATTGTGTGTGTGGGGGGGGGGGGGAGAGGATCAAGGAAAGGGAATAGGAGCAACATACATGGGGCAAATGATCCAGAAACTGAATTAGTTCAATGGGTAGAGGAGCTCTGGGCTAGAAGTTTCCTGGGAAGACTGATGATAGTACTTGCCAGGTGGGTTCTGAGCAGATTGAATCTCAAGGGACAGAATTCCTCGGAAGATATGTAGGATGTGGGTAGAGTCTATTATTCTCAACCATATTCCCTCCCTCCCCTCTTCACCTCCATGGAAAGTAGATACATCCCTGATGTACTGATGTTGGTCTTGGCCACTTGGTTTGCTTTGGTCTCATGGTGGGTGGTTTGTACCTTCCTGTCCCTTGACTATTGGCTTAGCCATGTCATATGCTTTAGCCAATGGGATATTGCAGACACAACACAGGAGAGGCTCGGAATGTGCTTGCCCAGTTGGGTTTGTCCCTGTGTGCCTTACCAGCACCAAGAGAAGAGTGTGTCTGGCCAATGGCTGTCCTTTCAGCCTTGGCCCCAGAAAAAACATAACAGGAGTAGAGTGGAGCCCAATCCAGAGTCAGAAGCCATGCCTAGTTGGATCTATACCTGAAATTAGAGCTGCTTAACTGGGCCCAGCCTAGATCAGCAAATACCCAGTACAGTCACTGAAGTATGAGCAATAATAAATGGCATTCATCTTAAACCACCGAGCTTGACAGTAGTCATATAGTACTATTGTGACAAGAGCTAAGTGATACAGCTCAAATATTTATATATTATATGGGTACATATTATATATGTGTGTATATATATATATATATGTATTATATGATATATACATGTGGATGTATACCCTAATAAAACATATAATAATATATATACATTTGTAATGTGTGTATGTGTATATAAGATTAGAAAGAATATAAACTACCCCTGCCCCACTTCTCCTAATCCTCAGAGAAATCTGGAGGGATACAGGGCACACTCTCATGAGGATTAAGATGGAGAAAAGAAGAAAATATCAGGGCACTGGGTGGCTCAGTCGGTTAAGCATCTGACTCTTGGTCTCGGCTCAGATCATGATCTCATGGTTCATGAGTTCAAGCACCGCATTAGACTCTGTGCTGACAGTGCAGAGCCTGCTTGGGATTCTCAATCTCTCTCTCTCTCTCTCTCTCTCTCTCTCTCTCTCTCTCTCCTTCTCTCTCTGCTCCTCCCCACCTCAAAAATAAATAAACTTAATAAAATTTTAAAAAGATAATAAGAAAATATCAGTAATAGTTGCCTCTGGGTAATGGGATATTGGGTCATTTTAATTTTGTTCTTTATAATTTTCAATATTTTCCCTTTTTTAAAAAAAAACTTACATATTCCTTGTCTAACCAGAATAAAACCAACAAATGGCTTTTGAAAAAGTCCTCCTTTGACCAAGTGCTGAGAAGGCAGCATTTCACAGGCTGTGGCATGGGAAAGGAGCCAGCTTCTCATGTGTCCATGAAGGGTTAAATGGACCCACGCCAACATCGATTTACATTCAACTCGACCCACATTTACTGAACTTGTTTGGTTGGACTCAGAACTAGGCACTGCAAGGGATTCTAAAATAAATAAAATCGTGTTAAGAATGGCTGACTGAAAAAGGGGGGAAGAAAGGCCAACTCTAAAGTAGCTCACCTCTCCCAGTGAAGCAGCCTCTCTGTGGCCTGATGCCCACTGGCTGGCCCGACTGTCTCCCCAGCCTGCCCCTGGCCCTATGGGTTTCAGAGCTCTCAGCTATATAGCTCAAGCACTAAAGATTTGGGTCATGATACTGTGTAACTGAGAAGGGGGAGGGAGGGAGGGAGAGAGAGAGAGAGAGAGAGAGAGAGAGAGAGAGAGAGAAAGCAATGAAACTAAACTTCTGCAATAGCAACAAATGAGTTTCACCCAAAGGGGACGAATGAGGGGAATCGACAGTCTAGGCAAGTCAGATCCAAGGAGCAGATTCCTCTACAAATGCACAAGTGGGCTTGGGCCCAGTCTTGAGGGCGCCAAACAGCCCAGGCCACTATCATTCTGTGGAAAACCTGAGTCCCGGAGCCAAGGGCGTCCCAGGGAACAGAGCCTCATGGGGTTCGTAAAAGTCATCTCAGCCAGGCTAGAGATGCTACTGTTTTGTAGTTTCGTGACTGAAATCTAATGCAGGCTTTCCTGGAGGAGCCAAGTAGATACTGCTGAACTAAAAATAAAGAATGGGCAGGAAGTGTAATTTATACGCAAGGTTAATCGAGGCTCC